GGTAGCCAAGGTTCTCCGGTCATAGCTTCAGACGTATTAATTCTTAGTTCGTTATGTTAAAAGTACCTAAAAGTACATAGTTATTCTTTACCTTCATGAGTATTTGGGACAATTAGGATGATGAAATGTATGTATGCAGTATCCTCTGCCTTATTGCCCCAGATTCCATACTTACTTCAGCAGTGATAATACTTATTTCAGAGTATATAGCATTGGCAAACCTTGTGGTCCTTTTCCTGGTATTATACCAGGGTGACAGTCTTTGTGCTTCATTAATTGGCTGTGTAACTTTAGGCAAGTCACGGAGTCTTTGTGACTCCCATCTGATAAACTGGGTCAGTCTATTTGCCCTGTGTACCTCATAAGGTTTTATTAAAACTCCATGTGTGAAGTGTTCTTTAAATTAAGCACCAAATAAACATAACATTAATTAGGCTGATCACTTGTCCTTCAGTCCGTTAACACAGGAACAGTGTCTCATTTGATTCCTGGACCAAATCCACATTTCTGTTGATTCAGGAATATTCTCTTCTCTCCCTCCTCCTCCCCTTGCCCTCCCCCTCTCTACAAGAAAGTATTTCTTCATGGAGAATTATGTGCTGTGTGTGCAGTGTCCTCTGTAAGCATTTCACCTTTTCAGTTTTGGATTTAGTTTGTCATTTGAGCAGTAAGATACAAAGATTGCCAGTAATTTTTATGCATTTTTTACACTAATAATTATATAACTTTTTACATAGGTTTCAAGTGACCTTATAAAGTACCCTTATATAGAAACTCTGAAACATTAATTAAATCTTAAATGCTTACAAGGAACCAGTTGCAGGATTGATGCTCCTATACTCATTTAAAATTTTTGAGATTACTGCAGTATTACTTGATTTTAAAAATGTTTATTGTTAGAGCTTCTAAGATGGGGGGGGATTAGCTTGCTAATGTTGTGGCAATAAAGGAATCTGTAAGTCTGTTTTACTTTATTGCTTGCCTGTATTTACATCTGAAAGAATGGTAGCTGTTGCCTCGATGCTTTAATGGTGATAGAAGGGACAGGAAGAAAGATGAAGAATAAATATATTAATCATAGGAAAGTTTAGCTATAATCTGAATTTTTCAAGAGAACAGATATCTGTGATTGCTTTACTTCTGCATCAGAAATTCTTATAGGAGAGACAATGACTGTGACTTCAAACATGTTACAAGGGAAATATAACAAGAAGTTGTGTATCTCCTGATGTGAAGTCATGAGGAATTAATGAAAAGGGGAGAAAAATCACTTTCTACATTGGTCAAAAGATGGCACCATTGCTGTGCTGATTGTTTTCTATAATTTGGGCTTATGCTTTTTAAATGCAGAAAATAGTTCAATTTAGTGATCTAATTAACACTGACCCTCCCAACACAATGCTGAATTTCTATTCAAGAACCAGAAGAATAGACCAGAAAAGTGGAATTTATATTTTTAAAATGTGTTAGGTTGTTTTAATAGCCATTTATAAAAATAACATTCTCTGAGACTCAGAGATTTACCATAGGAACAACAGGACACCTGCATCAAGTTTTCAATTTTCATCAAGTTAGAAATACCCTCCCTTTGGAACTTTGATAGCTGTCGGGTTTCAAGATGTTTTAGTTTTTCATATGTTTGTTGGCTTAGTTTCTTTCAAGTCATTAAACTTCTGCTTTTATTAAGGTAATTTTTTTTCAAGGTATTAAAATTATGTGATATTTTTCTTTTGTTTTCCTGGGTCATTATATTTTACTTATTGATAGTTGGAAAGTTACATGGACTAGTCTAGAAATGTAAAGGTGGTCTCTCTTCTTGTGCTGGGAAAGCAACACTTTCTCATCTTATTTCTAAGCCAGTATCTTAAGTGACTCTTGGGACCTGAGTCTCTCTTTTTCACTAAGCAGATCTTTCATGGATGGAGAAATTCAGTGAAAAGCGCTGAACAAAATGATGAAATGAACTCCTGGGGGGACAAAAAGGCTTTATTATTGATTGTACATAGTGTTCTGTAAAATACAAACATACAGTGTATTTTGGGGAGGTGGGATGGAAGCCTGATTGTATTGAGAGAATATGAAACAATCTAGTTTTCCTTCTTTATGTTACAATAAGAAAACACTAATGGACTCCTGCATATAGACTGCAGATTTGCCTATCCGATGCTTTATAAAGTTACATTTAAATGGTTTACTTTTAAAAATAATTAAATTAAGCTTTCATCAATTACTGTGACTAGTTTATCACATACATGTAGTACAGAATATATTTTATATAGCTTTGCATCATAACTCATTTGAATCTAAAATACAAGTCCAAAATCTTATTCAAAACTTTTGAGGCCGGATGTGTTTCAGAATTCCATTTTTTTTTTTTAAATTTAAAAAAGGTAACAAAATACATATGTGGTATATCATGTCACCCACTTCCCCCAGTAGTGTTTGGGGCAACATCTTTTAATTGAATGTTAGTATGTTTTCAGCAAAACATATGAATAGTTATACCACAGGGGCTGAGTCTTGACCATAAATAACTTTACATCAACTTAGATAAAATTTTGAGGCCAAATGAGTCGGTCACGAACTTAAGAAAAGACTGGAAGTCACAGAGCTTTTTTTGGGTTTCACAGTGGTATATCAGAGATAGTAGACCTGAAGTACCATTCAGGTATACTCTGTGAACTGCCAAAATTTCATTAAGGTTTTCTGTTTATAAATGGGGAAGTTTTAATTTAACATTATATTCTATTTAATGGTTTCTTTTTTTAGAATATATTTTGTTCTGTTTTTATCTGCTTTATTGACTAAGTGGTTCAAGCACAGAATGCATTTCAGCCTATTCCATAATATAGTGAAAGACAACCAGAGATTTGGAGAAATTTGTACAGACAGTATCTGCCATAAAGTGACAGGATATCTGGCATATGTTCTGTGGCAAGAAAGCCATCATTCTTTTTCTCTGTTAGGAGTACTTAGGGCAAAAGTATTTCTCATTCTATTTTATGCTTTATTATTAATCAAGATCAGCTTTATTTCCTACAGCAGTGTTGTGAGATAGAATCTTATTTCATATTTTAAGTATGGGTAAGCCTGATCAGCACTTAGGAAGTTTCTGAGGGGAATATAGATACTTCAGGGGAATGATGGAGGGATTGTATTATGTGGTAATTCTACTTCCTTTGAAGGACTCCCCCTAGCTCTGCATTACACTTGGACATTGTGTATTGAATAATATATAAAACCTAAGATAATGTCTACTAGTTTCCATTTAATTTTAAAATATTAGGTTTGCTTTTACCTAATTGATCAAAATAATACTTTTGCTTCATTTATTATAGTCATGACATCTTTTTCTACCTTCTATTGGTATGATTAGAAAGCTCTTCTAACTCTCTGTAATCATTTATAGTTCAATGGTAAATAATGCCAATCTTAATACTACTTGGTTTTTAGTAATTTCATGCAATATAGTTAGTGGTATTGCACAGGTGAAAAATTACCCATTGTTCAGGATCTTGTTAAGCCATGAAACAGTCATTGAGAAGCTGAGGGGACCACTCATTTGAAGGCTAGGGGAGGATATTCTTATGCCAAATTCATGCTGCTTAGTTGTTTCATTTTTATTCCTCTTATTAAAAAAAATAATAATTTTTCATGGTATGGAAATTTATACAGGCATAAAGAACCCTTTTGCCTTCTACTAGAACCCAGATCCAATGTCTTGTTTTTCTTCTCTAATCTTGACTTATCTTTTTATATAGTCATTATCATGACTTTGCCAGTTTATTACTATTATTTATGTCCCTCTAACTTTTAAATTGTTTTTTCACCCTCCAGAATTTTAAATTACTTAGTGGGCTTGTTAAGAACTACTAAGCAATACCTTTCTTTCATTCTTATCATTTTTCTTCTGAAGCAACACAATCCTTCTCACATCCTACTGTGTCTAACTGTTCTGAAAATACTCATATAGTTTTTTTTTTTTTTAATAATTTGGTGGAAACTTAATAACAGCTTGGTTCTGATGGACTGTTTCAAAATATGTGTGAATCGTTATGGAAGCAGATTATTTATCCTAGACACTACTAGAGTGGGCAGAGTACTGCATATTTGGGTACTTATATTTTAGGTATGCATTTTCATTTAGTATACTGTAAAACACATACTAAATATCTTTTAATTTTTATTAGAATCCCAATACCAGCAGTAAGTTTTTTAAATCATTAAACTAATTTGATTATAGACTTGTTAAATACTCGAGCCTTAACTAAAATTGAGTACCTGTTGTCATTTATGTATCAAAAGTGAAGAAACTCTTATGCATATTGATAAATGCTAATTATAGAGATAGATTTATACTTTGTGCAAAACCAGTGGTGGATCTCAATGTGGACTATTTCAATTCATGAGATAAAAGCCTTCTGTGGCATAAAATAATTTTCAGTGTAGAAAAGTCTTGGCTGTGTGAACCTTGGAAATGAGTTCTTTTTTCCCCCACATTGCCTGTTTTTCTTGATTTTTGAATACAAAATTATGGTATTTTGAAATTCAAATCTACTACCAGCAAAAGGACAAAACTAGTATTTAAAGAACAGTCACCAGCAGCAAAACCAGAACAATTGGACAGGAATCCCTAACATTTTGCCGCAGGATGTTGAGATTAACCCAATTTGTAAAAAAAAGCCCTTTGTGTTGCCACATACAGTTTCCTTGTTTTGAAAATATGACCAGTTAAGTTATACCAACCTAATTTTAGAAAGATAAATTATAAATGTCGGAATGAAAACAAAGCAGAAAAATCAGCCAACATTGGCAACATTATAGAAATTAATTTAAATTTGCATCAAACCAAGAACATATTGTTTATAAATGATAAAGCTTCTATGTACTTTTGTACAGCTGTAATGAGAAAGAATTATACTTCAGGCATTGGCTTTGCTAATTGTGGAATGAAAATCAAAAAAATTCCTTTATTGGTAGTTTGAAGATATCTGTGTTCGATCCTTTTGTGGTTCATAAGTGCAATGATCAGGTATTCAAACTGTTGTGTGAGATGGTGCCTCCCTCAAACCTTGTTACAACCTGGGCACAGTACTCGTCTGACATGAGATGGAAAAAAGAAAAAAAAAAAAGATATCTGCATTCAAATCTGTATATATCCCTTGCATAGCTAGTAATCTTTTTTTTAAAGAAAATCTTATATCCATTGCTATAGTCAGTAGAAAGTGATCCAAAATGAGTGTTGTAACTTAAACAATTTTAGCAAAATTTAGCATCTACCAATGCCTTAATATATCAATGTGAAAAAAATTAAAATGCCATCACCAAGTGTGTATTAGTTTCTTATCGCTGCTATAATAAATTACTACAAACAGTGGTTTCAAATAACACGAATGTATTATCTTATACTTCTGGAGGTCAGGAGTTCAAAATCAAAGTGCTGGCAGAGTTATAATTCCTTCTGAAGGCTCTAGAGGTGTGCTAGAAACTGAATGCTTGTGCCCCTCCCCCCCCCCCCAAATATATATATTGAACTGTTAACCCCAAAGGTGATGACATTAGGTAATAGGGACTTTGGGAAGTGACTAGTTTATGAAAGTGGAACCCTCATGAATGAGATTAGTGCCCTTTTAAAAGTAGATCCCAGAGAGCTCCCTTGCCTCTTCTGCCATGCAAGGACACAGCAGCCATCTGTGAACCAGGAAGCAGGTCCTCACCATATGTCATACCTGCCAGTGCCTTGATCTTGGGAATTCTCAACCTCCAAGACTATGAGAAATAGTTGTTTATTGTTTCAGCTACCCAGTCTAAGGTATTTTTTTAATAGCAGCCTGAGAGGACTAAGACAGGAAGAACAATTTCCTTACCTTTTCCATCTTCTGGAAGCATCCCACATTCATGGCCTTTGGCCAGCAATCCTGTTATTTCAGCCTTAGCTTCAGTCATCACCTTTCTTTCTCTGACTCATCCTGCTTCTCGTTTCCATTTATAAGGATCTTTGTGATTATGTTGGGCCCACTGAGATAATCCAGGATAATCTTCCCATCTAAGAGCCTTAATTAAATCACATCTGCAAATACTTTTTTGCCAGGTAGCTCTTCATTATAAACTTCAGTTATTGGGATGTGCTCTAGTCATTTAAATATAGATGTGAGACATGGGGCGGACTGTACTCTTAAATCCAGTAGAAATTCTAGAACATGATTTTTTTTAAAGAAGTTCTTGATTACTAATTGTTCTAGGGTTTTCACCACAGCAACAAGACTAAAACTTTTCTGGTTTTATGTCTCAGTAGATGACCTTGCATCCCATTTCACTCTTATTATCAAGGCTATCATGAACTTTCATTTACCTTAAAATATCTTACTTCTCTGTTCATGCTCCCAAATTGTTTCAGATGAGGAGATGAACCCCATCTTTTCTAAAGCTAATGCTTTCATTTGCAGTCTGAAGCCTGGGACTATTCTTCTCTTGGATCTGCATTTACATTTATGTGCAAGTCTTCTACTTAAAAACAACAACAACAACAACAGCAACAACAATAAAAACCTTTCTTCCCATCTTTTCCCTAAAGCGACACTTAAATCTGGTGAAATCTTAATTTTCTAAATTCCGCCTCCTTTTAAGTATAGGCATTCTCTGAGAGTCTGTATTTAGTCCACTGTTTCTTGTTGTTTTTTGTTTTTTTTAAAAACTTTTCCTGGGAAATCCTATTTTTTCCCATGATATCCACTGCCACTGAGCCCTAACCACCTTCCTGAAGGTTAGATGCTCCTTTCCACCTACCCACTGGAACCACTCAATATATTCAAAGACAAACCCATTATTCCATGCTCTCCCCCGACTTTCTTGTCCTTTAAAGAACAAAACAATGAACCAGACATCCTCTCTGTCTTACCTGTGTTGATTGATCTGATTACCATTTTCCTAGTCATCCAAGGATACATTAGAAATAGTTGTAAGGATAGAAAACATTCAAAGTTATTGCAGTCTGAGTCTGGGTAAGGTTAGTGTCAAGTATGCAAGCTTCCTTTCCTTCAGACCCTGTAGTTTGCTTTTAATGCACCTAACCAATCTAATTAATTTTCCTAATTACGTGCAGGTCTGCAGTTAAGGCCTTACGTCCTGGAGGGTTACTTGTGTACTCTACATGCACACTTTCCAAGGCAGAAAATCAAGATGTGATCAATGAAATTCTAAACTCCCACAGTAACATGACACCTGTGGACATTAAGGAAATGGCAAGGACTTGCTCCCAAGACTTCACATTCGCACCCACTGGCCAGGAATGTGGGCTCTTGGTGATTCCTGAGAGGGGCAAAGCCTGGGGCCCAATGTATGTGGCCAAATTGAAAAAATCGTGGACTATATGATATTGGTGATGTACATTTTGTAAACTATATCGATGTATTACATTTATTTTTCTGGGCTCTCTACATATTAACATTTAAATAATTGTGATGTTACTTTTTCTGGGTCTATTTGTAATCCTATTTAGTTAATACAATACTTTAGCATTTCAGAATTTAGGCTTGAGAATTTTCTGGGTATATGTTTTTCCTAGAAATATATCTATAGCGATGATTTAAGATGGTACAGATGGTGTTTGTTCTGTGTAATGAATCTGCTGTCTTTTACTTGGCATTTTGTAGTTAAATTAATCTATATGGTTTTATGCATAAGATGTGTAGAAATATATTTTATCCGTGATGTTGGTACTTTGAACCTTTAAAAATGCACATTTGCTGGCTCTCTTATTTTTATCGTTACAAAATATACAGACTCTTTCAGAGCTTTTACCCGCTTTTCTTTAAGAACTGATTGGTATTCTGAGACTTAACTTCTTAAGCACTATTTCTAGTTCTAGAAAAATAAGTTTCTTATTTGCTAAGTTGTTTTTTGTTAAGGACTGTCTTCTGTTTACTGCAAAGGTCAGTGACTCTATTGACACAAGCTTTATTTCTCCACTTTTTTTGTATTCACAAATACAAATTGAAAGGGTAAATTATGTTGAAAGGCCATTAGAATAGCAGATTCACATGCACATGTTTGATTTCGACATTCAGCTTGTAGAATAATGGAGTCTATCCAGCAGGCTATAAAGCAAGTACTCAAAACAAAACCAGAATGATTAATAACTGTAATAACTGAACTATATTTGGAGAGTTTTGTTACATAATTGCAGTTATAATGAGCACTACAGAATCTGATTATCTTAGAGTTGCAATCTGGAGGGGCTTTTTATGAAATGTTATATGAGAGTATGATGTCACATATTAATGCACAAGAGGGAGATACCTAATGAGAATGGATTATATGATTACTAAAACCCAATACCATTTACTAGGTGGCTCTCCTCTTTACACATATTCTGGGACGATTTAGCTTTTAGTACTTAGGGTTTTAGCTTCAAGTTTGGATCCTGTGTTTTCTGTAGAAATTGCTTCACTTAGTGTCCAAACATAATTTTCCAACTATTAAGAAAAAGTATGCAGCATACTTCAAAAGATTGAATCTCTTTGGAAATTAGCTTTTTTAAAAAAAATGAACTCTGACTCTTTAAATACAAAATTCTGCAGTTGAATCCTTTTGAATTGTTTATTACATTCTGTGCACTTAAACTAAAGACCGTTTGTTCGTTAACTGTTGTTCGTTTTGCAAGCATGTATTACTGGGCTCCTATAACTGTGGAGTCCTAGGAAGAATATTTTTTCTGTACTTTTATTCCGCCATTAGCCATTTTTTCTTTATATCTAACCAATATGTTTAAAGAAAAGCTGGATCTCTTAGATTGAATCAGATATACTTTGTTAATGCAGAAGATTAATGATAATGGGAAATATTTTTACTTTTTGTGTTGTTTTTTGGTGTATGCTTATTGGTTGTTTTTTTTCAATTTGAAATCCTGTCTTTAGATACTATAGGTTGAAAAAGTGCATTTATTCTGTGTAGGTTAATTGCAAAGTAAAATTTCAAAATGCACTGTCATTGAATGTCATTGTTTTCCTAAAATAATGCCATGAAGCCTATTCTGAATACTTAGCATGCTATTAGATTAGACCTCCTTATGATTACTGAAAAAAATGCAACTATATTTATATATAGATCTCTCTATAGCTCACTTTATTATTAACAATAATTATAAAACAGCTAACCCTTATTGAGTATTAAATATTTGATTAAGTTCTTTATGCATATTATCTTTTTTGACCTTTAAAACAACTTCAGGAGTGAATATTCTAACCTCCTTCTGTGACTAAGAAAAAAGCTCAGTGCTATTTGTAGCTTGCCAAGGTAAGTAATGGATGGATCCAAGATTAAAACTTGCTCTAAAGGCCGAGCCCTTCTCCCTGTACTATGCTGTCTCACAGCATATAGGTTATAGGAACCCTCAAGACTATCAGCTGGTTTTACCCTTATTCTCCATTGCTTAGTTTTCTACTTGTGTGCAATTCCCTGTTCCCAGAGCATCGCAGGGTTTATCAGTCAATACTGGGGTAAAAAAAAAACTTTGAAATATTTCAGAGTATGTTCTAAGAAAGTACTTCTTGTGGCTGTAATACCCAGAAATCTCCCAAGGAGGTAGGTATTCTGTGCCTGCCTTTTCTTTGTAGGT